AAATGTAAAGTTTCATTTAAATTCATTCAGCTATTTATATTCAATCGTATTAATAATATACATATGTGTGCTCATACATGGGAATAAAAAAAAATTTCTTTTTTTTCAATAATTAAAATATGATCAGGAGGTCTTAAAACGTGTATTTCCGTAAAATAAATTTTACAAAATTTTTTTTTCATTATGGGTACTTTGCTTATGTGCGCCTACATAGGTCGGAAAGTAAAAATGCCTGGGCAGTCGAGAATCTCGGCTCGAGAATCCAAATCGTATGCCGTTGACGGGAGGTCGGATTTCAGTTGTTTAGAGCAAGAAGGCAAATGTGAGCCTTTCTCTCTCGACTCCTACGAGGCGATCCGAAATTACTTCGGGCAGCTTCGGAGAATCGAGAAAGAGGGCATGCGTCAGTTTGCCTTTGTCGACTTTCCGAAACTCCACGAGCTCACGTACGCGTATCTGGCATGGGCGCGTGTGCACCCGGCGGTGCTTTTCTGGCATCTCTGGTGCATAGTGATTGTTACATGTAAGCACGCTTTTATGTATGTTAAAAACGCGCCGTATAGTCTAGTGCGCATGACGGCCGCGCAGCATGTGTACTTTTAGCAGGGGGAAGAGAAAACGACGCCCTGTTAATCAGTGTGGCCAGATCGGGCATAATTGAGTGCATCGAAATCAACAATAGTTACGACGAACTTCCTTAGCGCCTAACGGAATGGTGGTGTCAGCAAGCATATACTACCGCACGAGCCACGTGTACGTGAGCTCGGCATTCGCACAACTTCGGGAAATCGATAAAGAACGCTAGTGTTAGCCTTTCCTTCTTCCTCTTGTAAAAGAGAAACAGCTGAAATACGACCTCGCGATAATCAGCATACGATTCTAAGACCCCCTGATCATATTGTGACTATTAAAAAAAGACATTTTTTTTGTCCCTATACTGTTGGCATGATTGCATCTAAACGGCTAAATGAATTTCAATAACGAAAAAAAAATTTCGAAAATTTTTTTCAGCGGAATACACGTTTTAGGACCCCCAAATCATCTTGTGACTATTTAAAAAAAAAAACATTTTTTGTTGTTCCTATGCTGTTGACATGATTGCATCTAAACAGCTAAATGAATTTCAATGAAACTTTACATTTAAGTTTCATATTCTCGTTTCAAGGTCTGATTAGATTTTGAGTGTGATCAGCTCCCAGATAATGATGATTATACGTCTTATAGTTTTATAATTATTTCGATACATATACATTATTTGTAAACAATTTTTTAAACGATTTATAAAAATCTTAAGAAGAATTAAGATCAAATAAACTTTTCTTCTATCTTTTCTAGAAAGGAAAAATTAAACGAAATCTTATACATTGCATACCTACCTAAACCACATTAAAACCGTATTCCACAAATATTTTAGAATAATGTTGTTCAAAGCAGTCTTACTCGTAAAGGGTTAATTAAGGGATAATTAAAATGAAAAACCACTCTTAGCCAATACCGTGCACGCTGTAACAATGTTCAGTATCAAATGTTTTGTAAAGATGTGATCTAAATAGAAGAATTAATTGCTACAGAAATAGATCAAATGTTTATATTTGACTTAACTTTACATAAAAAAATAATTGTAACGATTGGTAAAACAATAACGTGCACGCTACTGCTCAATGGAAACCACGGAAACCATGGAAGATGGTGGTCACTTCCCTTCAGGAGGGAAATGTAAAAAATCGTTATTTATATGTAACATTATCACATGCCATATATTAGAACGTCTATATCCTTCTTTCTGTAGAAGGATGCGAAATAGAAATATTATAATGGCAAGCAATGACCGCGAATAAAACACGTCAATCTCATTAAACGATCAATTTACTTCTATTACACAATAACTTTTTCGGCACGGCCGTCGTTAGGGAACTCAACTGTTCTCACTGTACCCGTACATTCGTTCGAAGCGTTACGCGGGGGCACAGGAGACAACACGCAAACGGTAAACGGCAATTCAAACATCGAATGCCTACATTTCCTTTTTTTTGATCCCCCTCTAAATTCATTTCTGCAAAATGGAATATATTAAATTGACGTCTACGATTGTATACTGACGTATATACTGCTATGCATTCAATAGAACTTTATTTCTAATATTATAATTATTGCCCTTTAAAAACCTATGGGGACTAGGCTATGTATATCTACGTCCTTTCTTTCTTCGTCCTCGTCATTTCAACGGTCCATCGATCCGCAAGTAGTATAAACAAAACACTATCGTCAACGTGCTCGAGTCACTGCTATTTCTTTTGAGAGTTTGTTGCATTCGGTCGACGAAGACGAACGTTAGTAGAGAATTGAAGGTATGTGCTGTAAGTAATTTCAGGTATTTAAATTAAAAAAAAGCTTTCGCGTAATTATTTTTTAATTTACTATTTCACTATTTTCCTTGTATACAATGGAAACGGTTGTCAAATCGAAGAATAAGAGTAAGCGCGGTTTTTTTATCTTCATGGATGAGTGATAATAAACTTAAGTCATGGATACGTTCAGTACCGTATGATAAGTCTTATTCTTGCGGTTCCTCAAACGTATACATATGTATACATAGACACGGAGAATCTGGGTATCTTAAAAAAAAAATAGTATTTCGAAAAGGACTTTTACGCCTTAATGGCTTGAGAATGATTACTTCAAGCCATAGTTGCATAAGGTCGACGGAGATCCTTATTTATGGTTCTGTTCGATTTGTAATAAAAAATATTCATGTCGATTATCGACTATTTACAATCACGCAGATTCTCAGTGTCACATTGATAATTGTAAAAAAAGTAACGGTAACGTGGACGACTTGAATAATAATATTACGACGCAATCCGAGGAATCGTCTCTGTCGGTGGATGAATGGATAGATCCGCGGAGATAAAATTTGCAAAATTAATAGCCGAGAAATATATTCCGTATCGAATCGCAGAGACGATTCTTGAAGTTTTCAAAGACATTGAGCAAGATCCTGATGTCTTGAAACGTATGTCGTTCGGTCGAGCGAGGTATTCTAACATTATATCAAATGTTTTGTATTCTTATGAAATAAAACGTATTTCTAGTGTTTTACAAAACACTAAATATTCAATTTAGATTGATGAAACATCCGACTCGACCAATGAGAACTGAACAAAATCCAGAGGCCAAAGCATATCTTCTAAAAACCACTCTTAACCAGTACCGTGCACGCTGTAACAATTTTCGGTAACAAATATTTTCTAAAAATATAATCTAAATAGGAGAATTAATTGCTACAGAAATAGATTAATACTGACTTTTCCTGCTGTTTTTCAATAACCGTATCAATTTGTTACACAGAATCAAATGTTATATATTTGACTTAATTTTACATAACAAAATAATTGAAATATTGGAAAAACAATAACGTGCACGTTACTGTTCAATGGAAATTTGATGGATCTCAATTTCCCTTCTTCCACTAGGATGTAAAAAATCGTTATTTATTTGTAACATTACCACACGCCGTATATTAAAACGTCCACATTCGTCTTGCCTTTTATTTATTCCCTACTGAATTCATTACTGTACAATGGAATACATTAAGGGGGTAGGCACGGGTAATGCAGCGCGCTGTAAACCGACACAATTTGGCCCGAAATAGGGGGTTTCGAAATAAGAGATTTTGCCCTTATATGAGCAGCTTTTGGGTCGAATGAGGTCTCATTCGAAAGAGGAAGGTCCAATGCAGTGCGCTCTGGTCAAAATCGAACGAGATTCTGTTCACATTTATTAATATAAACGTCGAAAGTCGAGGAAAAAAGTCGTGGACTGACGCATACAGAGTCACGGACATGTACATATAGACAAAATTCATTGCAGTAGCAGCAATCTTTTTGAAGAAAAATCTCGAAAAATAAGGCCAGCGGTGGTTATATGTATAGGAAAAAGTTGTTCAAAATGTTGATTTTTACAACATATTCAAAAATCATCAAAATCGGTGAGACCTCCCCCTTTTCTAAATAATTGCCAAAATTTGTTACAAATAATGTATATGTATCGAAATAATTATAAAACTAAAAGTCGTATAATCATCATTATCCGGGGGCTGATCACGCTCAAAATCTAATCAGACCTTGAAACGAGAACATAAAACTGAAATGTAAAGTTTCATTGAAATTCATTCAGCCGTTTATATGTAATAGGAACAAAAAAAAAGTCTTTTTTTTAATAGTCACAATATGATCAGGGGGTCCTAAAACGTGTATTTCCGCTAAAAAAAAATTTCGACATTTTTTTTACATTATGATACTTCATAAATTTCCTTATTGTACCTTACATAGGTCGGAAAGTAAAAATGCTGGGGCAGTCGAGGCTTGGAATCGTATGCCGCTTATCGCGAGGTCGTATTTCAGTTGTTTCTCTTTTACAAGAGCAAGAAGGAAAGGCTCACACTAGCGTTCTTTATTTCACTACGTTAGACGCTAAGGAAGTTCGCCGTCATTACTGTCGATTTCGATGTACTCAATTATGTCGAAATAAGAGATTTTGCCCTTATATGAGCAGCTTTTGGGTCGGATGAGGTCTCATTCGAAAGAGGAAGGTCCAATGCAGTGCGCTCTGGTCAAAATCGAACGAGATTCTGTTCACATTTATTAATATAAACGTCGAAAGTCGAGGAAAAAATGAACGAAATACAGCCGTAGAATCGAGGGCTGGGTTAGTAGTATATGTATACCTGCTATCCCCACCACTCTGTTAGACGCTAAGGAAGTTCGCCGTTACTATTGTCGATTGGTCACACTGTTCGGAATGGTATATGGCAATAGCAAGCAGCTGCCTCTGATTTCTTTAGGCGGCAGCGTATCTGATGGTATTACCATTTCTGTGCATAGAATATCTGCTGTAATACCGACCTGCCGAATCGGCGAGGTCACGTGCCGTGCCTACCCCCTTAAATTGACTGCTATTCATGCAACGCTAAAGAAGTTCGTCGTTACTAATGTCGACGTCGATACACTCAGTTATGCCAGATCTGGCCACATTGAGCCACACTGATTCACACTAATCGTTCAAAACAATTCCAGTGGTTATTACGCACAACGGGTATTAACATATTGCATTTACTTTAAACGAAGGGTATTGTACTTTCTGCATATTTTAACTAAATTTCGAGATTTTATTTGAAACAAAATTAAAAGCTTTATAATGGAATCTACACGACCTAATCGGCCTAGTCGTTGCACGTGGAAACCAAATGCATTAAATTCACCGCATACAACAAGAATCGAGTAAGTACCTTGTAAAAATTATGTCTTAGGATGAGGACTGTAATGTATTTTTCTTAGTATTCTGTTTATTTTGTTAGTTATAAATTTGAAGAAAGGATATTTTATTTTTAGTATTATCTAAAAGGCTTTTATCATATATTTGTTAACGTTTATCATATAAGTGCTAAATTTTTTATTTCAGGACTGTTGATCGTAATAAAATAATACCTGATATATTGGCAACCATTGGACAAACACCGCTTATAAAATTAAACAGTATCCCAAAATCCTATGGAATTAAGTGTGAAATGTGTTAGTATAATTTTACATAATGTAAATACAAGATAAATTATTTAATTTTATTTTTAGATGTAAAATGTGAATTCTTTAATCCTGGTGGTTCCGTAAAAGATAGAATCGCATACAGGATGGTTCAAGATGCTGAAGAGCAGGGTTTATTGAAACCAGGATATACTATTATTGAACCTACAAGCGGTAATACTGGAATTGGGTTAGCAATGGCTGCTGCTGTTAAAGGTTATAGATGTATTATTGTTATGCCAGAGAAAATGTCTAATGAGAAAGTCTACACGCTTCATGCTCTTGGTGCTGAAATTGTTAGGACACCAACAGAAGCAAGTTGGGACAGTCCAGAAGCACATATTAATGTTGCACACAAATTACAAAAAGAAATACCAAACAGTATTGTTCTTGATCAGGTAGCATTTCGTATGCATATATACACTTGCCAGTAAAATTGAATCTTGACCTTCCTCTTTAATTTGAAATAAAAATGAAGTTGCTACAATGTTTTTTTGCAAAGTTACAGCACTATAAAATAACTTCTGCTCCTTTCACTCTATTCATCCCTTATTTTCTAGTATACAAATCCTGGAAATCCATTAGCTCATTACGATCAAACTGCAGTTGAAATTTGGAAGCAGTGTGATGGGAAAATAGATTATTTGGTAGCTGGTGCAGGTACTGGTGGTACTGTTAGTGGTATTGGGCGTAAATTGAAGGAGTTATCGCCGAACACAAAAATTATTGCTGTGGATCCTAAAGGGAGTATTTTAGCCCATTCACCAGAATTACAAGATGACATTTCTTTTTACGAAGTAGAAGGAATTGGGTAAACAAACTTTTTTCTGTTATTACGAAGATACTGTTTGATTTTGTATTCTTAATAATCAATACTATTTTTAGCTACGATTTTGTACCTACAGTTCTAGACAGAAATGTGATCGATAAATGGATAAAAACCGAGGACTGTGAATCATTGAATGCTGCTAGAATGCTTATACGCCGGGAAGGTTTACTGTGCGGTGGTAGTAGTGGTGCTGCACTTACAGCTGCTCTTAAAATTGCTAAAGATATTCCAGAAGGAAAACGAGTTGTTGTTATTTTGCCTGATGGAATACGAAACTACATGACTAAATTTGTATCTGACAATTGGATGGAAGTTAGGGGATTTTTAGTAAGTTTTCGTTCTGATGTACACAAAGTTTTTAATTTATACATTCTTTTCATAACTTTATATAATGCATATAACAGGATATTATTATTGCATGTAAAATATATTAAACATCAATATTAATATCAAATTACAGGAATCTACATATCAAAATGAAGCAAATAAATGGTGGTGGAATATACCAATTTCAAATTTATCTTTCGATAAAGTACCTTTGTTAAAAGAGAATACAAAATGTCAAGAAGCTGTTCGCATGATTGAAGAGACAAAGTCTCAACAATTAATTATTAGTAACGATAACGTACATGTAAAAGGTATCGTTATGTCGGATACGTTAATGTCAAATTTAATATCCGACTCAGTAAAACTCACAGATTTTGTAGAAAAAATTATGATCAAACATTACGTTAAAGTTAAAGTTTCATCAAGTCTCGGACAATTATCACTTGTTCTCAATAAAGAATTATATGCAGTTATTTTAAACGATGAAGATGATAATGCTTTTGTTGGGCTTGTAAACCAATCTCATATTTTGAAATTTATTATTAAAAGTAACGGTACAATAAATTCTAATAACTAGGTATATTAAAGATGGATGTAATTGTCTTAAATCATGGTATATTATAACATTGCAATAGGTTCTAATAGATAATTTTTATTTTTATATTATTTCTTGGTAACTAATTAATCTATATGCATTTTGTACTGAATTATACAATTTATAAATATTTGTATCTATTTGTATATAATTTTGTATAATTAAAGATAAACGAAATTTACTCATGAAGTTTGTATAATATAGTAAATTTATTTTACTGAATTGTAATTTATATATAAATATAAACTTACAATATTCTATGTAACTATGAATACACATTAATGTATATAACATTGGTATAAATTATATCCTTATATATATTTATGTATTACTAGAAAATGTACAAATGATTCATTAGATACAGAGGGAAACATTTACTCGGTTTTCTTGTATTCTTACAAGAGCTCTCTGATTCTCTGTTTCTAATATTTTATTCTATTTATATTAAATAATTAAATTTGTTGCACTTGTACATGAAATTTGCAAGTTGGTAATGTAGATATTTCAGCATTAACGGTACTAATAATTCCAAGATTGGCTAAACTCCCTCTTAAAAGTCCACAAGTGAATGCTAATAAACGTGGACTTTCTTGAAGATATTGTTTATTGCTATTAGTACCAACTTTTTCTAATAATCGAAATGAATTGTCTTGTAGTACGTATACACCATGGTGGTTTGTTCTCAAATTATCAATTTGCTTATGATACAGACTGATCCAAAAATCTGTACAAATGAATTTTATCATATCCAGTTCATCTTTAAATCGACTGCATTCCCGTGTCAGTCGTTCAATGATTCTGTATCCAACACTGAATCCCATCCATTCTAGTCGACAGAGTTCCTCCTCCTTTTCCTTTATATTGTAAATGTTACAAATAAGAAAATTTCATTGCACTAGCACTGGTATTATATTCATAAAGAGCAAAATTTTTAGAAATACATTTATTATACATTAATAACACCTATTACTTAGAATTTAGCATCCATCAAGCAATTAGAAATTCATTACTCTTTATGAATAGTTACCTTTTTGTTAACTGATTTGCTGAGAGTGTAATTAACCATCTCTGTATGCAAATATTCAAAAAGGCATTCGTCAGCTTCTCCGGACACGTGAGAACTGATCTTCGTGTCAACTATTTGTTGTCTCATTTTGGTTTTTTTTTTGTATTAGTTACACAATCTACAATACAAAAATTTAATACATAAATTACTACATATCTACTGAACAGAAAGATAATGTGTCACTGAAATGATGACTACTTAAGTTGCATTAATTTCTATTTGCGTTATATTTGTGTATCTAACCTAAATTGTCTCACTTTCAAAACAAAATTGAACGCAGTGTCAGCAGACAAGGAGTACAAATTCATATGAATCACGTGTTAAATAGCATGAAGTGTGAACAGATGAGACGAATTTTTCAAACATACACGCTTGGAAATAGTACCTACAGTGGTCCGCTGACTTGAAGTCTCGCGGGACGGCACAGGGGCAAAAGGAGTCGGACCGGTCGGACGGTCTCGACTCGGACCGCCTATTTATCTATCTCGCTCCCTTGCTTTCAGGAAGTCCACATGTGTGTATCACTGCCTCGACGAATAGCGAACTAGAGATCAATGTTTGCATTGGAATACGTGTATCCCTTCTACTTCTCCCGCATTCCTTCCGCGAGACGTCAAGTCAGCAGAGGACTGTACTTGGTTTGTACCAGAAGTTCTTAAGCAGTACAATATGTTAATATTGAATATGTAGCTTATAATTGCTTGTTATTAATGTATTTAAATATATGTAGTTTAATTATTTGAATAATGTTAAAAATCTAAAGAAATAATAAATAAATTTAGACTCATTAATACTAATTCTATTACGATTTTATGTATGTTACTTATTTCGACCAAAAGTTGTTTTTTAACACATTTACATTTGGATGCAAATAACTATGGAAATAATTATTTAAAAAAATATTTGTATAAGATCAAAAAACCAATTGAGGAAAACTGATTAAACTTAGAAAATAATTTCAAGTTAAAATTAAAAAATGTGTCGCACGACACCTTTGGTAGAAGGAGTATTCCGCGTAACTTACGTCTCCCCACTCTGGCGGCCCGCCAGAGTCTGGCCCCGCGTCCCTATATTACGAATAGTTAGTTACTAGATAGTAAGTAACCAGATTGAGGAAAGTTAGTTAATTAATGTAATAGAGTTTAAGCACGTGTAGGATTAAGAAATATAGATTTTATATACCTTTGAAGTGAGTTGGACGTGAGATATTAGCCGAGCGTGATTGCCAACAAACAAATTAAAGAATATTATCTACATCCGGTGTAGGTGACCGGAGGAACATGAGAACGCTCCTGGGCGCGAAGTCTCAGCCGGTGATACTCGGGGACACCTGGTATTGTAGGGAGACTGAAGCACAGGGGAAGGTCTCTCATTTCTCTGATTACTCAGAATTTAACGAGAGACATTAAATAAAAGGAGTGTCAATAGTCAGTCAGATAGACAGTCAGAATGTCAGTCAGAAGAAGAAAGCCCGGTTAATAGGCCGCGACCATTTGTAACTCGGTTGTCATATATCGCAGAGCCGTGCAAGGGCTTACCTTTGAAAAATAAATCAAAGTAATCAAATTTTAGTGGTGATTAATTCCTTTTCCTAATTTAATTCTCTGAACAGCAATAGCATGCGTGTCAAAATTAAAATAGAGTCTTTTAATATTCTTTTATCCAGTAGTTATTAAGCGTCGAAGCCCGTCTACACATTTAAAAGAATATTCAAGGACCACAGAATATCCTACTATTCTACCGGGCTACTGAGCGTCGAAGCCCGCTTGGGAAAATAGTAGCGAATCATCGTACTCATAAAATTTAAATGCCTAAGAGAACCCGTTGCTCTGGTCGTCGCCAACAAATTCGCCGTCTCGCGATCCTTTTAAATCGGTCGGCACCCGCAGCACGCAATTACTTAGAGCTCGGGTTCCGCCAATCAAAATCGAGAATTCCGCTGCCAACCTGCAACGCCGGCCCCCTGGCTGCTCATCCCAATGGAAATGCCATCAGAGATGCCAGAAAAGCACCGTCGGGTGCCCTACTCACACATGCCAGATACGCGTACGTGAGGTCGTGGAGTTTCGGAAAGTCGACAAAGGCAAACTGACGCATGCCCTCTTTCTCGATTCTCCGAAGCTGCCCGAAATAATTGCATCATGCCACTTCAACGCCTTGACCTCGTCAACATCCCCGAGGGCGATCCACGGCGATAGCGCTACGGTGGAATACCTTCACCAGATCGGCACGCCACCCCGAAGGAATAATAATACTGTTTTGTTTATGTTATAAAAGTAAGAACTCTTCTTATTGAAAAATACCACAGCGTGCACAATACTGGTAAAGAGTGGAATCCCATTTTAATTTATTAATTTTCAATCTTAAAGTATTTTGATTTTCAAAAATCGTATTAATAATATACATATGTGTGCTCATACATGGGAATAAAAAAAAATGTCTTTTTTTTCAATAATTAAAATATGATCAGGAGGTCTTAAAATGTGTATTTCCGTAAAATAAATTTTATAAAATTTTTTTTTCATTATGGGTACTTTGCTTATGTGCGCCTACATAGGTCGGAAAGTATAAATGCCTGGGCAGTCGAGAATCTCGGCTCGAGAATCCAAATCGTATGCCGTTGACTGGAGGTCGGATTTCAGTTGTTAAGAGCGAGAAGGCAAATGTGAGCCTTTCTCTCTCGACTCCCACGAAGCGGTCCGAAATTACTTCGGGCAGCTTCGGAGAATCGAGAAAGAGGGCATGCGTCAGTTTGCCTTTGTCGTCTTTCCGAAACTCCACGAGCTCACGTACGCGTATCTAACATGCGCGAGTGTGCACCCGACGGTGCTTTTCTGGCATCACTGATACATGCATAATGCAGTATAGAGTTCAAAGATGGCCGCGATCAAACTTGGACCATACTTGAAAGAATTACGGATTCTTTTGTGTCAAACGTCAAAATCTAGTCAAGGTGTTAGGTAATAGTAATATTAATCTTATCTATGTATAATATTTAATATTGTCGTAAGATATAATAATTATTGTGTCTATATATAATAAAATTCTAACCTATTTATCCTTTTTTAGAGATTTTCTCGAAAAACAATATGTTCCTCTTAAAAAGAACAACCCTGGGTTTCCAGTCTTGATTAGAGAATGTTCTGCAATTGAACCTCTTCTGTATGCACGATATGGTAAATGTAATAATTTTAATATGTTTTTACACTTAATTGATACACTTGTAATTTTGTGAGTATTACAGTATTTTGAGAAAAATGTTAGTAATCACATTTAATATATATTTGCGTATCGATATATTTATTTATTTTTAATTATCTATTTCAGAGCATGGCTTAGAGAAACGTGTTCCTTTACAAAATTTAAAGTCTGAAGAAGTATTTCAACGAATTACAGAAGTTGCAGCTAATAAACCATAATAATTTGTATGCTGTTATAAATGTATTTTAATTTATTTAGTTATTAAATAAAATAGTTATATTAATTTAATTTTGTTGCATTATATTATCATTGCATTTTAGAAACAATTAAACATTATGTGTAACACGCAAGTATTGGATATTGTTTCTTTTTTTTACTCGATATTATGCTATAAAAAAACAAAATAAAAAAATTCTTTGAATCTCTTAAAGTTTGGAACTAAGATAAAATATTAAAAGAAATTAATTCCAAAACAATCGAATCGGAAATTAATTCCAAAAAATTGCTATCATAATTTTTATCTTTCAACCTTAATATATTTTTATACATGAACTTCTTAACTATTCTAATGATAAGTAATTTATACCTTTAAAACATTGCTTGCAGTATTTTCATTATTTTAATTCTTTACGTTTCTATTAATTCTTTCACTTTTATAATTCCTCATGGTATCGTAAATATAATTATTCCAAATATTACTCGTATTTAATTAATTTTTTAGGAAGTAACTATGTCTTATTGGTTCAATGTAAAATTGTATATTGTAAAAATCTAATAAAATACTAATGTGTACAAGTAAAACTATAACAATTAGTAAATATTTACAATTCCGAATGTTTATATTGTTTCTTTTTAGCTAATTGGAATTGGTTAGACAGTTACGACGAACTGTAAGTTGATTACATTACCATGTAATCGTATTGTGTCATTACTGCATCAGATGTCATCAAACATATTTTTCAATACCAATAAATTACATCAATGTCCGTTTGATTACATAGCATAATATGTACTCGGGAATTGATACACAATCATCAATGCCCGTTATCCAGATCGCGGACATTTAAATGGGCACTACTCTACCTAATTCACTGTATATCTATATATATCAAGACGACATCTACGATAAAACGCCCAAGTTTGTCGAGAAATAATTCACCTTTTTGCACACTAGATGGCGTCTCAATTATTTACGAACGAAAACTAATTTTAATTTATTTATTAATGCAACAATAGAGTACTCAATAATTTAGATCACTTGTAAATGCTTCACTATTAACGCCAAAAGCCCAAACTTGTCTAGAAACAGTCCTATTTTTGTCCGTTAATTCTGTTAACCTGTGTCTTAGGTTAGCGATGTCTTCTGACAGAAATAGAACTGTTTCTAGACAAATTTGGACCTTTGGCGTTAATTATGAAGCATTTATAAGTGATCTGAATTACTGAGTACTCTATTGTTGCATTAATAAATAAATTAAAATTAGTTTTCGTTCGTAAATAATTGAGACGCCGTCTAGTGTGCAAAAAAGTAAATTATTTCTCGACAAACTTGAGCGTTTTATCGTAGATGTCGTCTTGATATATAGAGATATACAGTGAATTACATTGTTACTATAATAATAATTAGCTTTAGACACTGTTTATTAATTAGACTGATGTACATATATTGCTGCTATTGACCACTGTGGACCACTATTGATTCCTACTAAGCTCTGTTAACCAACGGTTCTTGGAAATGAAGTCACGATTCCTGGAAACCGCCAAAATTCGTCCTACCTCTTTCAATATCATATTCTCCTGATAGAAAAATTCGAAAATCGGTTCAAGTTCCGCAGTTAAGTACATCAAATCTGTACTTCAAAGGACTTTTATATGACAGCTTAAATGAAGATAATAGTTTCACTAGTCATAGTATCAGTAGTGGTTCCAGAAGTAGCAGCAGTAGAAGTAGCAATTACAAAAAGGTTAGGAGAGAATGGAGTCCTGTTAGCAACGTTTTGATCGTAGCAGATTTCCAGAACGTCTTTTGTAGCTAAATAGCAACAAAATTTAATACACGAGATATTAGATTAAGTTGACAAAACCTGCATTATTACTGATAAACTCTAAATGTGAAATACTATTTTAATTTATTTTTTCAAAATTTGTATCACATTATACAATTTAAGCAAGGGCAACCATATGACGAAGGGGCGCAAAATATAATGACGGTCCAACTTATACTTTATGTGCTGTAGCACGAATATTTAATGATAAATTTTCAAGTCATTGGATTGACCGTAATAGGATCGCGTTATAGCCAATTTGCTCGTTGGATCTCACACTACTGGATCACGAATTTTCTGGGGAAAAACTAAAAAATGAGAAACAACAACTGAAATATACACACTCATGCGTGAAAAAGAAGTATTTGAACGCTTACATTCATAACATTCAAGCAACGAAATATGTATATTAGACGTATGCAACGTATAACATTCGTGTATTATAAAAAAAAAGAAAACTTGAAAAACATATGTAATGTGTTTGGGGAAAGGAAATTTTTTAAATTTAAACATGGTGAGTTTGACTTTGAAAGACGGACCCCGCTCTAAGGTAACTTTCTGTCGTTGGTACTTATATTTTTGAAAACAATTTGATTAAAGACAATCCCTGAATTCTCGTTGATTGATGAAATTTTAGTCTCTTAGGACTCATCCCTTGTCATATGTATGTGTCATATTGTATCAAAATGAATATTATAAATGTAAGCATTCGAATACTTTCATGTACGAGTGTATTTTACGGCCATCGTTGTACATACGCCCTGCAAGATTCTTCTACATCCCGGCTAATTTGACGGAAGTGATCACAATGTACATGAGCTAATTCAAAAGAACCATATTTCGCGAACGTTCATTCTACTTTACGAATATTAACACGCCTGTCCTATTAGGGTTGAATTAAGATTTTTGAGGTACAAATAATTTCTATGTTTTTGTCGTATGGGTCTCATATAGTGAAGTTACAAATGGAAAAAGACTTTTTAATTAGGATCAGATGCCCACTATTAATGGAGGAAGGACGAGAGGGGAGGGGGGAGGGAGAGATTTATTTTAAAAGTCTGTGATCGTCATTGGAACCTTAGCTAATAACTATAATTTTTTATTTTTCCAAGACGAATTCGAAATTTTGTTAATTCTTAGATCGTTCGAACTGTGTTTTACATCACGAGACAATTAATCGAACTTTTCACTGTCACCTGAAGAAGTTACAGGGTGTTCGGCCACCCCTGGGAAAAATTTTAATGGGAGATTCTAGAGGCCAAAATAAGACGAAAATCAAGAATATCAATTTCTTGACCGAGGCTTCATTAAAAAGTTATTAAAAAATTAAATTAAAAAATTTCAAATCATTCTGAAATAATTATTTGGGTTGCGGGACTCAATTACAGTCATTTTATGTGAATACACATACACCCGAAATCCTAATCACTTTTGAGAAAAAAAATTCGAGAAGGTACAGAAATTTTTAGACGAAATTAAAAAATTTCAAAACATACTAAAAAAATTATATTTAGTTACAGGGGTCAGTTACAAGTATTTTTGGTGAATAGACATACCCCGAAATCCTGCGCACTTTCGAGAAAAAAAATTCTTTACCGAAAATCTAATGTAAGGTCAGAAATGCTTCCCTGAAACTTCATGCGAATCTTTAATGTCATAACTCCTGAACGGATTGGAGGATTTTAATTTTTTAATATGCAAACAACGCGTATTTTCGTGTAGAATATGTAGAAATTCAAAAAATATTCGAAAAGTTGTTCCTTAACCCCGTAAAGTGAGAAAAACCTCATAAAAAAGGTCCAATTTTCAAACAGCCATAACTTCTACAATAGTGAATATATTTAAATGAAACGTTCTTCTGAAGTAGAACTCATGGATACCTACAAAAAAGTACTAAACAAAATTTCCGTAGGACGTCAAACAAATGTATTAAAAATGAAAAACTAATTTTCAAGTAAAATCGACAGGATATTCGACAAAAATGTTTCAAATCGTTCTGGAAAAATTATTTTCGGTTACGGTGGTCAATTACAATCATTTTTTGTCATTAGACATACCTTCGAATTCCTACCCACTTTCGAGAAAAAAATTAGAGTAGGTACTGAAATTTTTAGACGAAATTAAAAAATCATATTAAAAAAATTATATTTAGTGAGAGGGGTCAATTACAAGCATTTTTGGTGAATAGACCTACCCCCGAAATCCCACCCACTTTTTAAAAAAAAATTCAGTGCGGGCGGAACTTTAAACGTTAATAACTTTTTAACAAAGCCTCCATCAACAAATTAGTATTCTTGATTTTCGTCTTATTTTGGCCTCTAGAATCTCCCATTAAAATTTTTCCCAGGGGTGGCCGAACACCCTGTATAAATGATAGCGTAATCCTCTTTATTTCTACACGGCTTCCTGGTAGTCAAAGTTTATGGGGGAAACACAAGCAATATTTAAATATTAAAATTTAGGGACTCGGTAAGGGTATCGAGAACCGGAGTAGAAAACGAAGAGTGTACTGGTGTATTTTACAAACGAACACGTTAAACATTGAGGTTTGTGAAACGGCACAAGTTTCGTTTCTCACGTGTATGGGAATGTTGCACGCAAGCTTTCAAAACCTATGGTTGGCAGCAGCGAACGTTACAAGGTATTACGTGTATTCTTTTTCAACAGATTTATTTAATTCGATCACTTTTTAAGCTCATTTTTTACTATAACACAGTTTGGTAGTACAGTTCTTGCGCTTCAATTCTGAAATAAAAAAAGAAAATTGTATTGCACCTATGTAATAATAAAACACGAAATACTTATTTAACGCTAAAAACTATCGATCGATCATCTTTCGAATGTCAGCTCGTTAATTATAGAAAAATGAAATTGATCTGAAGAAACGTTAATTTGGAGTGCAAAACTCGGTATCCAAATGTTAAATAAAAAAAGGAAATTTTAATCTCCTAGAAAGTTTCACGAATTTGGTCTGGTAATCAGCGTGTTAACAAAGTATAAAAAAAGATACACTCAGGTGTGCGAATACAACGTCACTGGAAATGCCTTAAGTTTTATTTTCAATGGAGTGTAATTGGTTATTATTACTATTGTTCTTACAGCGACGATATTGTTGTTAGTCGGGAAAAACATTTATGTGTACGCGCAGTTGTGTGAAAAAGTTCGTGAAACTTTCACGAAACTCTAAATTATTATGTGGTAATGCTTCAGCAAGACTGCGTTAGAGAACCATTTTGGGTATCAATTACCCCACAATGTGAACATCAGAATGAATTGTGTATTGTATTATCATGAATTATCAGCTT